CCTTGATCCGTTTTCAAAAACTTAATTCATTTGTAATATTTATTAATGTATTAATCAAATGAATTCCCATTATGAACTTCAAAATTATCTGAGGCCTAAAGGTGTCGCAGAGCATCAGTCAGGATTATCTCAGTGAGAATCATTCAGCTGCTGTTGGAGACAAATTAAGCATTTTTTCTATCACTAATTTAAATCGAAGTAGTTGCAATTTTGCACAGATAATGTTTCAAGATTAAGCATCCATGCATATGTGATGTTGGCCACATGATACATTATTGTTTACTGTAACGTGAACTTTGAGCAGGTTCCTTTAAAGTATGTATAGACTAAAAATAAGAGTTTAGAGCTCAAAATGTTTTTATTAGATTTCTATTAAAAATTACTATTTTGTTTTTCATTACAATAAAGACAGTAAGAAGAAAAAAACGTTATATACACATTTTTTAGCTGCAGTCATCATCAGAGAAATAGTCAAAAAAAGAGGCTTAAGTCTCACGCTTTTAGAATTTTACAAAACACACGTTTTTTAAATGTATAGAAATTTCTTTCATTTTGAGCCCGTATATGAATGGATTAAGCAAAGGATGGTACAGAACAGCTTGTAAAGTAATTAAAAAGGCGCAGAGTATGGCTGCCTCGTCGCAAGCTCCACCAAGCAACAGCTGTTTTTTGTGTTTACTACTTTTTCTTTTTCTTTACTTTTTCACGAGTAGCACGTGTCTCCTTGTGTACGACCGACAAACCTTACTGGACATAAAGGATGGATTTTCTCATTACTTTCCGGAGTTCAGGTTTTTCATCACGGACCTGCTGTTTGCAGATCCCCCATTCATCTCAACTGAGACGCCTTTGTTATGGGCCCGTGGAGGCCGCAAACGCCGACGCAGAGGGAGAAGATCTGGCGTTCTGGTTCGACTGAGACGGCGCACTAACAGACCACCATTACCCAGTTTACTACTGGCTAATGTGCAGTCCGTGGATAACAAGCTGTGCAAGCTTCGGGCTCGGATCTCATTCCAGCGAGAGATGCGGGACAGCTGCGTGATCTGCCTCATAGAAACCTGGCTATCGAACAAAGTACCGGACACTGCAGTACAACTACCGGGGTTCTCCGTGCACCGTGCGGATAGGTCACAGGAGCTTACTGGGAAAAGCAGAGGTGGCGGTGTGTGTTTCATGATCAACAATAGCTGGTGTGATTATGCGAACGTGCACCCGGTCAAATCCTTCTGCTCTCCGGACCTGGAGTACCTGATGATTAAGTGCCGGCCATTCTGGCTACCGAGAGAATTCACAGCGGTAATTATTACGGCTGTTTACATTCCCCCACAAGCCGACACTGACCGAGCACTAAGAGAACTGTACAGCGCGATCAGCAATGAGGAAACCGTACACCCAGAGGCGGCGTTTATTACGACCGGGGACTTTAATGAAGGTAACCTGAAGAAAGTCTCACCAAAACTACACCAACACATCCATTTCAATACACGTGGAGACCGGCTACTCGACCACTGCTACACATCTTTCCGGGATGCGTACAAAGCCCTCCCCCGCGCCCCATTTGGCCAATCAGATCACCGCTCCATCCTGCTTATACCTGCCTACAGGCAGAAGCTGAAATGGGAAGCTCCAACCCTGAGGGCGGTGCATCGTTGGTCGGACAAATCGGAGTCTACGCTGCAGGATTGTTTTGATCGGGCGGACTGGGAAATGTTTCACGCGGCTGCTAGAGACATTGATGAGTACACAGACTCAGTCTGCGGATTTATCAGGAAATGCGTGGAAGATGTTGTCCCATCCAGAACAGTTAAATCCTTCCAAATCAAAAACCCTGGATTAATGGAGGTGTTCGAACGGCGCTGGCGGCACGGAGCACCGCCTTTGCCTCCGCGAACACATCAGACTACAAACACGCACATTACCAACTCCGGAAGACGATCAAAGCAGCCAAACGTGAGCACAGAGACAGGGTGGAGCAACAGTTTGACAACCCCCGAAGTATGTGGCAGGGACTAAACACAATCACAGACTTTAGAGGGAAAACCAGAACACCGCAGACCACGGCCTCTCTGTGTGAGGATCTAAACGTATTCTATGCCAGATTCGACACAGCGAACACCATGAGACCGGACAGTGAGCGCACCGCGGATGACGTCAGTGCGCACACTGTGTCTGAAGAGGATGTGCGGAGGTGCTTCAGGAGAGTGAACGCACTAGGGCCTGCACGACTTTATTTTTTTTAAAGTCGACAGTCAAGTAATGAAAGTCGAGTCGACTTCGACTAGTCGTTGATGACGTCATATGCCGGAAGCGGCGGCGGGGGGTGGGGGGGGGGGGGGGGGGGTCGGTCGGTAGGTTCGCTGGAGTTTTTGACAATTAAAATTGCGCCCACATTTTCTAAGTTAACACATCTCTTTTAACAACGGTAGTTTATGCATCCTACTTCAGTCCTCTCCCCCCTCCCCCTGCGCAGCAGCAGCAAACTCACTGATGCGCCTGCACCCTTTCCTGCTGCTCTAAACATTAAAATAATTATTTCATTTTCTGTTCCTCACTTCTGATTACCTTCAGTGGTGTCTGTTTGTTGCAACCACCAGGTACAAAAACTAACTTGTTTTTATTTGACTATTTTTCTGTCCTGTCTCTGTTTATTATCTTCCTGCATCTCCTCTCAATCCTAAAGAAAAACTGCTATCTGGGTTCATATATATTCACCTCATGAGTTACCTTTGAACTGCAGTTCTAAAAGATCTACTGATCGCAAAAACAGCGGAGTGCCGCTGCTCGCCGGCCGACTACAACGGGACCGTTTTTGCTGCGGAGTTCATGCCGGAGCGGAGCGGAGTGGAGATAGTGGAATCTTGGGGGTGCGTCACCGGAGGACAACAGGTGATGCACCTCGCTCCGCAGCAGCGAAATGCATCAGGCACAAATAGCAGACGGAAAACATGAAAGGAAATGAGCTGACATGAACGATCGCGTGTTTAATTTGTTTTTGAGGTGGTGACACCTGATTTGGCGGTGCTCAGGACGCAGATGTCTGGAGCGCACGTCAATGATCAGAGCTTTGCATGCACTAACTGGTTAAGATTAGGATGGGGGTGAGGGGAAGGTTAAATTGCAAGAGGGAAAAGGTCACAGTTTGGTTAAATGTCCGTTTTACTGCCGGTGTCAGTACCGCACAGCGCGTCGCCTCCGCCTCGATCCAGACGCGCAGGGGCTCATCACCTGCTGTCTTTTCCGAGGACTGCATCTTGTCAGTCATTATCACGTGACAGCGACTAGTTGATGACAGGCATAAAAAGTCACTACAGAGCCGTGAAGTCGACTAGTCGACTAGTCAACTATTTCGTACAACCCCTAGAACGCACGCAAAGCTACTGGTCCGGACGGGATTCCCGGCCGCGTCCTCAGGTCATGCGCGGCTCAGCTGGCTGGAGTGTTTACACACATCTTCAACCTTTCCCTCTCTCTGTCTGTAGTCCCAGCCTGCTTCAAAAATGGCCATCATTGTCCCTGTACCCAAATCCTCCACCATCTCCTCATTGAATGACTGGCGACCTGTAGCCCTGACCCACATCATGAGCAAATGCTTCGAGAAGTTGGTCAGGGACTTAATCTGCTCTGCACTACCCGATTCACTGGACCCTCTACAGTTTGCATACTGCCACAACAGGTCCACTGATGATGCCATAGCCCTGACACTCCATGCTGCCCTGTCACACCTGGAGAAGAGAGACACGTATGTGAGAATGCTGTTTGTAGATTACAGCTCAGCATTCAACACCATTGTTCCCTCTAAGCTGGACAGGAAACTGCAGGATCTAGGACTGAGCAGCTCCCTCTGCAGCTGGATCCTTAACTTTCTGTCTGACAGACGCCAGGTGGTCAGACTGGGCAGCACCACCTCATCCCCCGTCACACTGAACACTGGTGCTCCGCAGGGGTGTGCGCTGAGCCCTCTCCTGTACTCACTCTAGACCTACGACTGCACGGCCACTAGAAACTCCAACATCATTGTGAAGTTTGCAGATGACACCACGGTGGTAGGTCTCATCACCAACGATGATGAGACGACCTACAGGGAGGAGATCAGCACCCTGACCCACTGGTGTCAGGACAACCATCTCACCCTCAACGTCACAAAGACAAAGGAGTTGATAATGGACTTCCGGAGGTGCAGAGGAATACACCCCCCCATCACCATCAACGGCGACGCTGTGGAGAGGGTGAGCAGCTTCCGTTTCCTTGGTGTTCATCTGGCTGAGGATCTTACGTGGTCAGTGCACATGAACAATACAGTGAAGAAGGCACAGCAGCACCTCTTCTTTCTCAGGAGACTGAAAAGATTTGGCATGAGCCGCCGCATCCTCAGGCCCTTCTATCGCTGTGCCATTGAGAGCATCCTCACTGGATGCATCTCCACCTGGTATGGCAACAGCACCGCTTACAACCGCAAAGCTCTCCAGAGAGTAGTGCGGTGTGCAGAAAGGATTATTGGAGGTGAGCTTACCTCCCTCCAAGACATCTACAGGAAGCAGTGCCTGAGGAAAGCGGGGAGGATCATCAAGGACTCAAGTCACCCCAGCCATAAACTGTTCAGACTACTTCCATCAGGAAGGAGGTTCTGCAGCATCCGGTCCAGAACCAGCAGACTGAGAGACAGCTTTTTCCATCAGGCCATCAGACTGCTGAACACTTCGCAGACACCTCACCCTCACTACTGAAACTCCAACATTACACACTCCATACTGTACATTAATGCCACTGTTTTGCACATACCAACCTCTGTACATTTATATCTCTTATTTTATTGTTTACTTTATTCATTTGTAAAATATGTATATACGCATTATACACACACTCACATGCACACACGTAGAAAAATAAAAAATAAAATACTTAGCACACACATTTAGTAATGTATATACCTTACATACTATATATATTATTACTTAGATTAGCCATTTTTATATTTTGCTTGTTTTTACGTTATTGTATTTTTGCCCAACTCTGTTGCTGTGAAGCTCGCACACAAGAATTTCACTCGCATGTACTGTACCAGTGTACCTGCACATGTGACGTGACAATAAAAGTGATTTGATTTGATTTGAAAAGCGAACAATTTGGGGAAAACTGGACTCTACACGAGCTATATTTACACTGTAAGAAGTCAAATAGGAGAAAATGATAAAACTAAAAGGTGGGGTATACTGGTCTCGGTGTCCTTTCTTCTGAAGGTTTTACTGTTGTGATATGATACTATAAATATCTTTGTATATGTAAAAACTGTGAAGACAGCTGGCAGAATCACAAGATCTAGCAAAGACACAAGCCCAAATATAGTTAGTGCTCTTGGTTGCAAACACTGAAGTGTAAAAATAGAATTATTACAAAAGATTCCTTTCAAATTTAAGTGACATATTTCAGCATTGGCACTCATAGTTGCTGTAACTGTAATGTGACAAGCAGGTATAATCCAGGCCAGAATCAAAAACATTAATTATAGTTTTTGTCATGATGGTGGAATATCTCAGAGGTTTACATATAGACACCTATCTATCAAAAGCCATGGCTGCCAACAGTAAAAATTCTATTGTACCTAGAGAATAAAACATAAAGAACTGGAAGAGGCAGGCTGAATATGATATGATTTGTTTTTCGGACAAAAAGTCAATCAGGAGTTTTGGGTAAACGGTGCTAGTGTAAAGAACACAGTTAAATAACAACACAGCAATAAAAATGTACATGGGCTCATGGAGATTTTTGTTTGTCCAGATAATATACACAATAGTAGGATTACAACAGATAATTAAAACATATACAGTAAGCAAAACAACAAAATACAAATACTTGTATTTGTTAATTTCCGCATACCCACTAAGTTATGTAGGACATATTTATCTCCTTATCCATAAATGGTTTTGAAACTATTAAAAAAGATCACCAATTTAATAGGGATGCACCGATCAGGTTTTTTGCTGCCGATCACCGATACCGATATCAAAGAATGCTGATCACCGATACCGATCACCGATACCGATCACGTGGATTGGCCAGAAATTTTCTACAACATTATAATGAGTGCTACAAACTACATAATCTGGGAATAAAGGAAATGTAACCTAATCTAAAATGGTCTGTATTAGGGTTGTCACGGTGTGAAAATTTAACCTCACGGTTATTGTGACCAAAATTACCACGGTTTTCGGTATTATCGCGGTATTTTTTTTAAACGTGCTACATTTTCACACAATTAAATAAACACTGTATATCAGGAAAATATTGTCCTCAGTTTGTGTCTAAATTTAGCCTAAAATGTGTTATTTTGTAATTATGTTGTTTATTTGTTTACATTTTTCCACTTTAGTCTTTAAAATACCAATATTTGCCCATAACTTCGTATTTTATGTCTGTTTGATGTCATCATTTAAAAATATTAGATCAGATGATACTCGGTACTCAAGTAGCCTTCTAATCAGATACTTTTTTACCCTTACTTGAGTAATAAACCCTATATCAGGAAAATACTGTCCTCGGTTTGTGTCTAAATTTTGCCTAAAATGTGTTATTTTGTAATTATGTTGTTTATTTGTTTACATTTTTCCACTTTAGTCTTTAAAATACCAATATTTGCCCATAACTTCGTATTTTATGTCTGTTTGATGTCATCATTTAAAAATATTAGATCAGATGATACTCAGTACTCAAGTAGCCTTCTAATCAGATACTTTTTTTTACCCTTACTTGAGCAATCCGTATTTCAGGAAAATATCGTCCTCGGTTTGTGTCCTTCCAGTGAGCTTTGCAGATGTGGGAAAATGTCATCAGGCAGTAATCATTGTTAAATTCATAATTATTCTCGGAGAGAGACCAACTCTATCTGCCCCTGGGAGAACCGTAATGCATAGCGTCATTTCAACATGGCGGTGTCTGCGACACGGTTTATATGCAGGTAGCGGCGCTGCGGCTGCTTTATATAGCGACTCGTTGCATTCTCCCTCAACCCAAATCCTCGGATCATGCATTTTAGCTAAAACACTAACGTTAGCTTGCCTTGCGTTGACTGTAGAGTTGTAGGTGATGGTCACGCAGATGTGTCATGAGATTTGAAGCGTTGCTGCCTTTCACAGACACTTTTTCTGCTCGTGCTGCAAACAGGATAGCCGCCCGTCTTCTATAAACTCCCTCGGCATTCTTCAAATATCTAAAATATGCCCATACTTCCGACTTTGTCTTCTTTGAGGGATAATAAATGTCCTCCTGAGTGTTGCCGTCTCCTCCTTTGACCATTATTTCAGCTTTAGCTTCAAGAAAGTTTTGTTGTAAACAAAGCGTGTATGTGCCGCCGGCAACTTCTGCAGATGATACGGTGGCTGGTAAGGGTCACCGCGCCTACACCGCAGCCACGGTAAACCCACCAAGATAATATAGTTTTTTTAAAAACAAGATGGTTATTATTGTCAACTTTTTTTTTTACCGGGGTTTAGCGCTACACTGGTTACCGTGACAACCCTACCTGATCGGTTTGCTTTGATCTATTTTGAAAATTCCGATCAAAACCGATAGGGGCGCTATCGGCCGATTACGATCAAATGCCGATCCATCGGTGCACCCCTACAATTTAATGGTGACTGTCCAAACTGCAGTGAGTCTATTTCGTTACCTGGTTTGTAATTTTTGCTAAATGAGTAGCTTGCGTCTGAGGACAGGCTTTTATTAGATTTCTTAAAGATCTGATCTCTGGAGGGCTACCATATAGTTTCACAGTATCTTCTAAATGTACAACTATGCTATTCCACAATTAGCAATAGTTGACATGATAAAAACAAACCCAGGATACATTCAATAAAATTCTAAATGCAATACTTAGCTTTTGTCCGATGGGCTTGAGCTGAACATTAAGATCTAAGACTTCTTCCAGGTAAACAAAAGGCCTCATTCTTTCAAATATTGTTAACAAATCTGTGTAAATTTGGATTAGTGAGCACTTCTTCTCACCAAGATAATTCATTGCTCAACAGGCAAGGTATGTCAAGATGCTGATTAGTAGGATTACCATATTTTCATTTCCAAAAAAGAGGACAGGAGATATTCAATTCAATTCAATTCAAGTTTATTTATATAGCGCCAAATCACGACAAGAGTCGTCTCAAGGCACTTCACATAATAAACATTCCAATTCACAGTTCATTAAGCCAATCAGAAATAATGTTTCCTATATAAGGAACCAAGCAAATTGCATCAAGTCACTGACTAGTGTCAGTGACTATACAGCAATCCTCATACTAATCAAGCATGCAGCGACAGTGGAGAGGAAAACTCCCTTTTAACAGGAAGAAACCTCCAGAGAATACTGGCTCAGTATAAGCAGCCATCCTCCACGACTCACTGGGGATCGAGAAGACAGATATGTGCGTCATACTTTGGCAAAACCACAAACCAAATTGGTACCATTTCTTTTCCAGATGAAGAGTAAAATTAACATCAGATTCTGTCAACAAAAGGGCTCTAAAACAATTCATATGTAAATATTTTGCATATTTATAGCAAAATTTTCATTTATCTGCTGCTTTATTGCTGCAACATTATATTAATAAGAAATTATTATACCTTGTGTATTACTACAGCATCGGCGAGCTTCCTGTGCACAGATTATTAAGGATGCTTATTTCAGATGTGAGATTAGATTATAGGATCAATGAAAAAAAAGTTGTCAAAGACTCCATGGAAACTTTCAGAGAATCCACAAAAAGTTACCTTCAAATGTTTTGATCATATTTTTAATCTTATTTTTTTAGGCCCGAGCAGCAAAAGCGCTGCGAAGGCCTCTTGTTTTTGCTCTGTTTATTTATTTTTTTTTATTTATTATTCCGGTGCCGCTTTGAATGGCTTTTTGGGGACCTTATCATACCCCAAAACTCACAATATTTTGCACACTTGTCAGGCCTGGTGAAAAATTTGATATTTTAAAGGTCCCAAAAAAATCGCAAAGAAAATGGCTGAAACCCTACAAAATGAAAAAAAAAAACCCTCTCCATAAAGCTTAGTTTATCGTACAGTTTTGAAATTTGGTACACTTATAGTACTCAACAGTCCGCACAGAAAAGTCTCTTGCAAGCATAGTCAATATCAAACAGGAAGTCGGCCATTTTGGGTTGAAATGGTGATTTTTTGCCGTTTTGGCCGTTTTTAGGGTCCGTTTCTGATTGGATTGCTCGATCATTTTTCGCACGATCGTCTCAAAAATTGTGTAAAATTGCTCAGAAGAGATGGAGGAACAAAATGAGACAATAAAATTGACTTTTCGTAAATACTGAAGGGGCGGGGCCAGGCCTCGAAGTTTGACTACTCGCCAAAAAAATTTAAATTGCTATAACTTCATAAATGAATAGAATAGAGTTACCAAACTTTCTGTGGTCATTTTTCATCCGCCACAAAGTAAATTGAAGGGTCGGATGATGACGTCACACATGCCCCGCCCCCTCAGGACCAAAAAGGTCAAGTTTTACTGTGAAAGGTCCCAAATTGCCCCATTTCAATTAATCACCACAAATTTGTAGCTGGTAACTCAAGACAAGTGGGGTTTGCTTGGTGTCACTTTATGGGAGTTTTCGGCAGAGGGCGGGGCTGTGGCGGCGCGACGAAGTCAGGCGTACCGCCGTGGCCTTACGTTTGCCTCCCATTTCGTCATTTTTAAAGATATCGCCACGAAACTTCTTGTGAGTGATCCTAGTCCGGCCCATCAAAAGATCTGATGTGACCTTCCGGTGGGCGTGGCCTATTTTCTGAAATAGCGCCCCCTAGGACCATTAAAACTGTCAGCCCCAAGCCATGCTTTGACTGAGGATTACGAAATTTGGTACAGTAATGTGCTGTCTCAGGACCTACAAAAAAGTCTCTTGGAGCCAAGTGCAAAGTCGCACAGGAAGTCGGCCATTTTGGTCCAAGTGTGCAATTTAATGGTTTTCGCACACGTGGTTTGGAGAGTGATGCTCCGTCGCCCTTTTCACCAATCGCCTTCAACCTTCTGCTATATACTCTTAAGACATAGAGGAAAAAATTCAACCGTCTGATTTTTCAAAAGTTGAAAGGTGTGGGCGTGGCTAAGCCTCAAACTTTGACCTTTCGCCACGCCACTCTTTTTTTCACAGCTCCCTACTGGACTCCTTTTACCCAATCAGCAGGAATCTCTGAGAAATAGCAGTAGCCAACGTGAGGTCACTTGGTATCCAGTACTGGCAGGTTTCGAATAAAGGCGGGGCTTTGGCAGCATGGCGAAAATCGCCATCACGCCATGGAAATACGTTTGCCTCTCATTTCTTCAGTTATTGTGATATCGCTACGAAACTTCTTGTTAGTGATCCTAGTCTGACCCCCAAGAGATATACACAGCTGACATTTGTGGGCGTGGCCTATTTTCTTAAATAGTGCCCCCTAGGACCATTTAAAGTAATTGCCCCATGCCATGCTTTGACTGAGGATTACGAAATTTGGTACACTAATGTGGTGTCTCAGGACCTACAAAAAAGTCTCTAGGAACCAAGCGCAAAGTCGCACAGGAAGTTGGCCATTTTGGTACAAGTGCGTGATTTAGTGGTTTTCGCACACGTTGTTTGGAGAGTGATGCTCCGTCGCCCTTTTCACCAATCGCCTTCAAACTCCTGCAATTTACTCTCAATACATAAGGGGGAAAATTCAACCGTCGGATTTTTCAAAAGTTGAAAGGTGTGGGCGTGGCTAAGCCTCA